AGAATGGGTCGCGTTGGGACATGGGCAAAGTTGAGATAGTCGTTCTCAATTCTCTGAATAATGTGTGTAGCTTTTCATGTATCAGATGTGCTTCCCTACTCCCTAGATTTTCCAGTTTATACTTCTATTTCTTTTGAGTGGCGTAGTGAGACTATAGCTCATAAGTAAGAAAGAAAAAATCTAAATACTTCTGTGTGCATTTCCTAGCAAAGCTGGCCCAAGCACCAAAAATGAGGTTGTACTTCTCAATTCTATTTGGAATGAGAGTGAATATTAACTCACAGTTGACTTTCTTTCTTTTGATATGGCATGCCCACACACCCCAAACTCTATACTCAAGAGTCAATAGTGGTCCTTTCCCACTTTGCTCCCTTGGTGACTCAAATGCTCCACCTTAGGTTAGGAGGTGGGAGGATCCTCTCCACTAGGCTAAAGACCTCCACTTCCTTTCTTATCATTCAACTATGGCCACGAATCAGAGAACTCCAAAAATGATCCAAAGCACTCAGGAGCCTAAACATTTCTTTTTTTCCAATGAAAACTATGAGGCCGATTACATGATTTCAAAGGAAGAAAAGAAAAGGTGGGAGATAGCAGGTACCTGCTTGCGCTAGAATCTAGATTAGTTGAGTTCTGCACAAGCTGGCCCAATTATCCAACCCAAACAAGGAACTGAGACTATCAATAGTTCTGAGAAAATTGAATATTGACTGAGATTTTAATTGCAATAAACAGCGAAGCTGACTAGAGGAAAACCTACTATGATATACCACTGATGCAACTAGTGCTCAAATAAAGCCTACACAGCTAATTTCATACTTTCCACAATTAATATAGAAGGCAACAGAACAAGACGTTATCTCTTCTTTTTTCCTTATCATAAGTATGGAAAATAAGTTAATACTATCCTGAAGCTCTGAATTGTGAAGTTCAAAGCCTCGACAATATACATACTAAATTGAAAAGGATCATTTCATAAAATCGAATGCCAACATGCATTACCATAAATGCCACGGGAATCTTCCTAACACCCCCAACCCCCCACCCCGAAAAAAGAAGGGAAAAAAAAAGCACAAGAAACACGGAAGAGATAAGATAAACCATTGAATAACGTTGCTTCGAGAAGCAGAAATGCAACGTAGAAGTTAGAAGGATAATAAAGTCCAAAACTTCAACTTTATCCTGCATATAAGACAGTCTTAAGTGTAAAAAACTTTTCAGATGATAGCCCAATCAATAAATTCAGTTATGCCTCAATGTCAATATGATTGCTCAATTAAAAGGGAAAAAAGAACAAATAAGTAAAGAGCTGTGCATAAACTATACCCCATTCTTAGCCTCAATAGCATGCTCTTCATCAATATGACAGCAAAGGCCAACAATATCAAAATCCTCGCCACAAAAAGGGCACAGAAACTCCGGCCTGGACTCCTCTTCACCCTCAAACTCTTCTATTATATTATAGAATTCTGCACGATAAAACCCACCTTCAATCACAAAAATCATAAACAATCCCTTCTGACAATTCAAACAAACCACAAAGCAAAACAAATGTAAAATTTCCTTTGTGTTTTCTCTTTTAAATCTGGTAAACATATTGGGTTTCACCTCAGCTCAAAAACTAATTACTCCTTCTGTCACAAGAAAAAGGTGGCACCTTTATTATTTGGTAGCAAAATAGTATTTTATTGTCTTGAACATTTTAAACATATTTTGAGAAAACTATAAAGTAAATGAAATCAACAATTAACACCCAAATCCACCAAAAATTAGATGCATGGATCTCGTACTCTGAATCAGCTTTTTCGGGCAAGTGTAAAAAGGGAAGTAAACTATATATCACTGAACTCCATATGGGAGAAATAAAAACCCAGAAATGCAAATGTGAAGTCAACTTTTCCATTCTTTTTAGCAAAACATAATTCTACTTAACCTTAGCTCACAAACTATTTCATCATTTTAAGAAAACACACTCTTACTATTTCCATTTTTTAATTGTTTCCTAAATCTTTAAGCATATTTACAATAAAATATTCGATTCCAAGCAATTTAAACCGAAAATAATATACTTTGACCTCATACACCAAACCCTTTATTTTTTTAAGGAAAAAAAAATACAAAGCAAGCCAAAAGAGGAAAGTAAGTGAGGAAATACTAAACCCCCTAATACCATAAAGTAAAACCCACGATTACAAATGTGAAGTTTCCTTTTAACATTCATTCATTTTCCCAACCTCAGAACTCACAAATTAATTCCTCCTTCCATCCCCAAATTTATTATTTTAATTTCTTTTTTCATATGCTATCTACACATAAAATTAACAACATAAATCATGATTTGATAAAGTAACTCAAACAATCTGACCCTCACACTAGCCAAAACCGAAAAAGGAAAGTTAAGTGAGATAACACTGACCCGATCGAGATTGGTGACGTCGTGAAGAAGTAGAGAGACGAATCCAAGAATCCGAATCCATCGTAATATCCCCCTCCCCCCAAAAAAAATCAAAATTAAACAAATTTAAAGCTTAAATCCTTAGAAAATGTTCAAGAAATTGCATTCCCTGATACTGAAATTGCTCAAAGATCACAACTTTGTGATAAATTGTTGAAAGCCCTAAGGAGAAATTTGGAAATTCGTCGCGAAGTTTCGTGGAAAATGGGAGGAGAAAATTAGCAGAAAGAGCCTCCAAATTTCACACGGAAACAAGTGTTGGCAAATCTATATAAGAGTTTGGGTTATGAATAAAAAGGCTTGAATTTGAGTTTAATTACGAAACAGCCACCACCCACTTGGACAGGATGGAATTGACTCATCATGATGTGTATATTTCTTGGAAAATATTGAAAACTTGGCGGTGAAGTTTGGATATTAGTTTATTTTACTTTTACGAGCATCGAAAATTGATCTCCGGAGGTTGATTTTTATGATTGTGGCATTGAAAATTGATTTTTGGAGATTAAATTTTTATTTAATAATAATAGAATATATTATATGAGATTTGCACTTTTTTTTAAAATCATTTTTTTTTAAAATCATAATAAGATATATTTTTATCACTAAATTATTGATACTTATTAGTTTAAGATTATATTATTTTATATTTATATATTTTTTTAAAAATATCGACCTAGAGATCCGTAGTTTGCAAAAAAAATGAAAAAGAGGACCTTGGGAGGTCGATTTTTGTAATTTTGGCACTAAAAGTTTGATTTTTGGATTGTCTTTTGAATAGTGCTTGAGTAATTTCACGAGTATATGTTACTAATTGTCGATAAAATGTCGAATATTCACCGTTAGTTTATAAAGGTGAAATAGTTCTTTAAAAAAGAAGAAGAAGAAGAATTTTATTTTTATAGTTTACTATATAGTGTTAGATATTAATTTTGAGGTACATTTTCAATTACATAAAATTTCTTTTTGAAGACTTGAACTCGAAATTTTTGATTAAAGATATAATTTTTTTTCTCTTTCATTGCAGTTTCTAATTGTACTACAGAAAAGATAGGCCTTAACTTATGTGTTCGATAGAATTCTACAACTTGTTCAAAATCTTAATAATTGTATTAGAAATTCATTAAATATATATAAAAATTATCTTTTAAACTTAATTATTAATATTCACATTGTTATTGGAATTTCATAACTTTAAATATTAAATTCACTTATATTTGAATGAGGTCGTGTTTTTTTTTTTTATAAAAGTAATCTTTATATATTTTGTTGTATTAAATATGTTGTAATGAAATCCATGTAAAATAAATACAATTAGTTATAAAAAATATATATTACATTTTGCCTCGTAAGGCAATCATAACTATATGTCCTTATTCAATTCATGCGAGGAAATTATGTACTAAATGCAGGGTTATGCTTTGAGAAAGATGAGATGTACGCATATTTTATCATTATTTTTATAAAATAAAAAGATTATTTATGATAGATCATAGACTCCGAGAAAAATCATGCTGGTAATATGATACTTAATTATGGAACATTTTTGTGAGTTTACACTTTTGCCTTTTAGTTATGTTTGTAAAATGAGAACATCTTGCATGAAGCTCTTTTGTAGCTCAGCTGGTTAGAGCACCCGTTTAAAAAGCGGAGGTCTTGAGTCTGACTCTCAACAAGAGCAGTTTGAAGTTCTATTTTTCCTTATGTGGTTATTTTTTATATTATTATTTATTTTTTTTAATCATATAATTCAATTTTAAAAAGTGTCAATGTTTTACTCAACCCCACAAGAGTCACAATATCAAGGTCTGCTTTCAAATTGAGCCACAACGATCACTTCGATGTGATTTGGATTTTCTGGTGGAACATCCCACGTTGCTAGTGGTGATGACAACTTAAAGGCGATGATTGACAATGGTAATAGTCAAGATGATAATTGTGAGTGGATAGTGATATTATAATGCTAGATGGCAACGACGATCAATGTAAAGGGCAAAGAGCAGCTTAGGTTTTTATTTTCCTACGTGGGTTATTTTTTTATATATTATTACTATTTTTTAATCATATAACCAATTATATAACCAATTTTAAAAAGTGTCAATGTTTTACTAACCTCTAAGAGTCACAATATCAAGGTCTGGAGCCAAATTACAAAAGCGATCACTTCGATGTGATTTGATTTTCTTGAACATCCCAAGTTGCTAGTGGTGATGACAACTAAATATGATGATTAATAATGGTAATGATCGAGATGATGATTGTGGGTGATGGTGATATTATAATGCTAGATGGCAACGAATTACAGTGCAAATGAATAAAGTTATGGTGAAATATCGATTTTTTCAAAGTTTTTTTGAGTGAATAGTATCATAATTATATTAAAGGTGTGTTTAAAAAAGTTACTTAGTAAGTGAAGGTTGTAATTACTTCAATTACATTTCAAGATGCCTATCCAAATAGATTTTAATAATTTAATAATCAAAAAACGTCCATTGGTCAAAGAAAAGTGGAAGATACTACTCCTAACGGAAATCGTATAACGCGAGAGTGTCAATGCATAGCCTTTGAGGCGTGAGATATCACCCCTGTAAATAATTAAAATTCACATATTTATTAACTACTTTAACCGTTCACAAGCTCATCCAATTTATCAACTAGTAGTAATTAGGCATTATTCTTTAGTTAATCAGTTACTATATTGTCAAGTTAACTTAGTTGTATGAAAATCCATATTTTGCATTAAAAATTTTCCATTTTTATACCAATATTATTTTCAAACTTGAAAGCCTATAGTCAAACTTTTATATAATCATATCGCTTGTCCGATATATTTTGACTGCGTTATAGGTAAATGCTCTGGGATTACATTGAATTCTTGTTGTTGCAGGTCTTTTGATTTAGATTTTTCTTCTTATATTGTCTCTTAAAACTTTTTCTATTATTCGATTAAATAATACAATATTTCTAATAAAAAAATATAGTTAAATCCACTATAACCACATCGTTTGTCTGAATATATTTTGATTGCTATAGTAAAATGCTTGTAGATTTATATTGAATTCATTGTTATTAGGTCTTTTTTTTAATTTTTAGATTTTATCTTCTTATATCGTTTCTTTAAAACCTTTTGATTATTCAGTTAAATAATACAATATTTATTTTTAAAAAAACAGAAAAACTAAAAAAAATAAAAAAAATAAAAAAAATAAAAAAAATAAAAAAAATAAAAAAAATAAAAAAAATAAAAAAAATAAAAAAAATAAAAAAAATAAAAAAAATAAAAAAAATAAAATATTTTTTATGATAATTTATAGTGTTTTTTTTTATTTTTTTACTTTACTTAAATTTTATAATTTTAAAATTCAAATTTTAATTTTAATTAAATTACATGTTTTTTTTGTTTTTTTAATAATTATTAAAATTATTATTATAATAAACCCCAAATAAAAAATTATCTGTATTTTGAGTTCAAACCCAGTTGTAGAGTTTGTGTTTTAAGAAAAAGCTATATTTTCGGCGCGAATTCAAATTTAGGTAGTCTTAAATACAGCTATCCAAAGAAAATAATTTTTTTTTCCCTTTCATGTCCAAGTCCGGTGAATGTTTGAACTCCGGTGATAATTTCCCGCAATTTCCTGACGTTCCGGTTGGTAGATGATGATCTGCTTTGTCTGAAAATCTGGAACATGCCTTAAGGAGTGTCAGTATGAAGGTATTCAATATTTTGCTTACAATTTTAATGCACTATCTGCATAAAGTTCAAGTTTTTTTTGGAGAAAAATGTTGAATATTTGGGAGTCTTCACCAAATTGATGAATTGAGTGGTGTATAGGTAGAGGTGGGCCAAGATTTAAACTTTACGGGTTCTTGAATTTAGAAATTAGAACAACAATTTTAAGTAATAATAAGGGTTCTAATTTAATATGTGTACATATTTAATGAATTTCTTTAATATAAATACACTGTTTGAGCAAAAGTTGTTGAAACCGGGCTTCTACGTCCTACTTCGGTATGTTATAAGAAGGGAAACAAATCTCAAACTAGTAAATTGTAGTATTCATTGTACAACAACAACAACAAGATATTTGGTGTGATCATGGGGTGTGAGGATGGTAGAGGTAATGTGAGACCATACCCCCTACTTTGGGAGGTATAGAGAGTTTGTTTTGATGCACCATCGTTCCTTAAGAAAAGTATATCAAGTAGGATTCGTTGTAAATTACACAATCTAATGTAAATTTTTCGGGTATGCTCTGAGACCAGCAATATGAGGAAGGTCCCTAGAAAGGAGTTTAACCATAAAAGGTACCCCTTTGTTCTACTTCATCTGGCACTATTACTATAAAATAAAGAAGTTCTTCTTGAACAAATTCTTTCCAAATGTTTCGAATTATTATTTGGCTGTAATAATTTATATCCTTTTTATGTAGTTTCTAAATATGTAAATTTTTGTTTAGAAAACTTGAAGATTCTATGTGCGAATCCGCATTGAAAATTAAGTAGTTAGGACCCTTGTATTCGAACCTCGCCACATATATTGAGTGGAGAAGTTTTTTAAAATTCGGCTTTTAGGTGATTTAGGAAATGTTTATGTTGAGAATTCAAACTGCAAGAGAACTTGACCTTGGATTTGTTGTTTACATGTTTCTAAAGGCCCTTGAACTTTACCAAGTGATCAATGTTTAATGAGGAAAGAAAAGGAATATCTGTAGGTTGATATGTTGATCCAGAACCAAAACTTTTTTTTTTTTTCTTTTCTCGTCCTCGCAATACATTCAAATTTAATGGTTTCTTCCAGTCACTACGTGTAATCGAGCAGAGGTTGCATTGTCATTGGGTTCAGAAAACAAAACAACTTCACTTGGTTATGTTTTATGTCCACATGCCAGACATGGACGGCTTTAAACTTCTGGAGCATATTGCTCTTGAGATGGACCTGCCTGTTATAAGTGAGTATCCTGAGCCATGTAGTACAAACAACGCTTGTTCCTAAGTTTAGAAATGCTGTTTTTTTTTGTACTAATCAGTGGACTTTAACTTCATTTATGATTAGGTAGTGATGTCTGCGGGATGATAATAGAAGTGTAGTTGTTGAAAGGTGTGATTCATGGTGCACCATGATTATCTGATCAAACCGGTGAGTATTAAGGCACTGAAGAACATTTGGCAGCATGTAGTTCGACAAAATAAGGACGAGTGGAAGGGCAAGATTTTAGATCACTAGGAAATACTGATGACGGAAAAGGGCCACAGGAACATCCGGAAGATGAGGCGAGGTTCAAAAGCTCAAAGAAAAGAAAGAGGAGCAATGAAAAGGAAGAAAGGGAAGATAATGGGCATTACTGAAGAAGCCTCGCACGCTTTGGTCAGCAGAACTTCATAAAAACTTTGTACAAGCTTTCAATCAACTTGGAGACGACAGTATGGACCCTTTTTACCTTTCTTTCGGATATTTTTACAAATTTTTATTTTGTTGGTGTAATTCTATGTTGTTCCGTATCGTCTGGTTGTTTTGCTACAGAAATTTCATTTCATTCATATGGTTCCTCATCACACCTTGCTTCTGGTAACTCAATTTCTGCTTCTTTCAATCTATATTAAGAAATCACACACTACCGGATGTGTAGTCTTTTTTCATTTTATGTTTCGGTTATGCATTTACCTTGCCTTGCTGTCACTCTATCTATCTTTTATTAAGTTAATGCATTTCCTTCTTTGTGATATGGTAAACTCCTTGGGATTTTTTCTCCACAGGAACGCAACTGACTATATACTCACCAAGAAAGATTCCGTTTTTCCAATTTTGTTTGCTAGTTTGTACCAGAGAAGTGGATAGAAATATGCGACCTTATACCTGATAGACTGAGTTCTTACCAGCTGAGTTATCGTTATTATAACCTAGTTTCTGTCTTGTCTTAAGTCTTCTCTCTTCCCGTTTTGTTGGTAATGTGTTCGAGTTAGAGACCATTTTAGTAGTGTGATTCCTCATCAACAGAGCCTTAGCCCTACCTGAATTCCATGCTTCTGTTTGTACTTCATAAAAACTCTTCTGCTGTTAAGTTTTTGCTAGAGATATGTTTACAATACTAAAACAAATATGTGGAATGAGGGGTCTATCGAAAACATGTCAGCATCCGAGCTCTACTGCCCCATTCTATCACAAGTGGTAGAACAATATTTGGTACTTGATAACTACAGGAATTCTCAATGATAGATAGGACACCAGCAGTACGCTTTCTCGCTTATCTCCACTATCTGTGATTGTTGATATTCCTTTATTATCATGTAAGAATTTGGTTTAAAATTTAACTCATCTTCGTCATTACATACGTTAACTTTATACAGAGGCAGTTCCCAAGAAAATTCCTTTGAACTGATGAATGTTCCTTGGCTAAAAAGAGAACATGTTGCTAGCCACCTTCAGGTACTGATGACCTTTACTTTTTTCCCATTTCAAGAATGTAGTGTCGTGCATACGAATGTTGTATTGGTGAATGATTTATGTATCTCATGAACATGTAGTCGCAACAAGATGAAAAGGAAAACCTAAAACCAAAGCATCTCTACGAATAAATGTGAAAATAACTAGAATAGAACACAATGAAAGCAAATGATCCGTATAGGCGAAGCACTGATTAGTTGGATTAACATTTAGTCATGAATATAACATTTAGTACTTGA